AGTCATATTATAATTTTTAAAGTGTACTTTAATTGAAGAAATTATTAAAATGTTTATAACAAGACTTTTTTTTTATGTCTATTTATTAAAAATAACTTAATAATTTTAATGTCAAAATTATATTTTTAATATATAATTTATATTAAAATACGTAAAATCTCTAAAATTAAATGATTTTAAGGTTTTTTTTTATTAATCTTTTATTATTTTAAAATTATATTAAATTTCAATTAATTTAAAATTAAATCACATCAAATTTTATAAAAAAAAAAAAATCTTTTAACATTTATTTTTTTATTTATAAAATTAAAACTTTACATTTTATTTTAAAAAAAATTAAATTTATTTTATTTATATCAACAAGTGGATAGTGGTTTTGAGGTTTTCTCAAAAAGAAAAGAACAAAATAAATGAAACGAAAGAACAGGTAGCAGCCTAGGACGTTGCCGAATGCCGACGAGTGATTCCTTTCTGAAAATCAATAAATGAATAATGTTATAAAATTATTCAATTTTTATAAAAAATGTCAAATCATATGTATTTTTATAGACGCACTTGAGCATTCATCTTACTGGCTTCAGACCACACGTAACATACGTCTTTTCTTTTGGATAACTGTTTAAATTTGTTCAAAAAAAAAGGTTAAATGCTAAATTTGGTCCCTCAACTTTAGTAAGTTGCACATTTTTGGTCCCTCAACAATTTTTTGCACTTTTTTGATCCCTTAACTATACGAAATGCACTCCGTTAGTCCTTCTGTTAATTCGGGCCGTTAACTCGCTTATGTGGCATTTTTTATAATTTTTTTTATGATATGGCAAAATTAATTTAAAAAAACGTTGATTTGGAATTTTTTTTAAGCCAATTCACTGCCAACTCATCAACCAATTTTGCCTTAATAAAAAAATAGAAAATTACAAATTTACCCCTCTCCCCTTTTTGATCCATCTTCTTCCCCTCTTTCGATCATCTTCTTCCTTTCTTCTTTTTCTTTTTCTTTCTTCCTCTTCTTCCTTTATGTCTGTTGGGTTCCACGGGAACCCAGCCAACTGGGTTCGAGGTGGAACCCAGATCTGTTGGGTTCCCGTGGAACCCAGATCTGCTGGGTTCCAGTGGAACCCAGTTGGCTGGGTTCCCGTGAACCCAGCTCCACTTTTTTGCATTTTTGTTTTTTGTTATATGTTGGTTTCCTCCAAGACATTATATGTTTGTTATATGTTCAAAATGGAAATGGAAAGAACAGAAGCAGTTGGGCAAAGAAGCTTAGTGTGTTTTCATTTGTTTGGTTGGAAAATGGTATAGTTTGGGTGTTTGGATGCCGAGAAAATGCTTTGAATTTGGGTGTTTGGATGCTGAAAAAATGCTTTGAATTTGTTTGATTGGCGAAATTGGTTACTGAGAAATTATAATGGCCGTTAAAGAAAAAAAA